CGACTATCAAATTGGGTTTTGAGAATTGAGAACGGGGTAATGATAGTTTTCAAAACTCATCAATCGATGAATCACAAATGTGCACCATAAAACTTAATACTTGCACAATTAACAACAAAATTAAAAATTAAAATAAAATCTTTAAGTAATCATTTCATAATTTACTATTAATCATGTGGTATTTTGATAGAAAATAAAATTCCACGCGGCATAGTACAATTGGTAGTAAAAGAGGTTAGGATGGTCTTCCTCGCATTAGATTAGCCTTATATAAGACTCACTTTAACTCTTTCCTTATTAAATTACATTTTATTTTTGATAAGAAATATGCTATTTCCATGAAACAACCATTCACATGGAAAGAATTCATATTGCTCAATTAAGATGTTATTGTTTCCAGTTTGATTAATCATTTAATCTAATATCAATTGCTTACTACTACAAGAACTATTTATTTATTTATTTCTATAAAGAAATGTCCCCCGAACAACTCTCCATTAACAATATTAAACCATGCTTATTACAATATATACTATTTAAGAATTTAATCTAACAGCGCGCACACCACTGTAGACCATTGTGATGTTCCTCGAATTGTTGGCCCGACACATTCTATCAATACTGGCCACTCAATCTTGTCGGATTTGTCGATGAACCATTAGTAATGTCACGTAGTTGTATTGACACTAGGTGATTGCCACGGATAACCAATGTGTCAAGTGGATACCCTTTTAACATCCAAGTAGATGGGATTGTCAGAGTAGATGGATTAGAACAAGTTACACGTCAACTTAGTTACACGAGTACCCGAATTTTTGGTTTGGGTTTCAGGTAATTTTGAACACCCTTAGCTCTTCAACTCACCAAATACCGTTATTTCTTCTTCGTGTTAGAAAGGAGGAAGAAGTTGTCAATAAAGAAATGTTTTATATTACCATTTTCTTAAATTCTTAAAAGATTAAGAAATATGCCCTCCTTTTCTTTTCTCAATTTTATTTATCTTGCACTATTTATTGTTCTTAATTATAATAATAAATAAAAATTATATATTTTTACGTTAGGATATTCAATAATCTCAAAAATTAGTTAATTGAATTGTCTGTAACTGAAAAAAAAAAAAAAAAAAAAGTTTTCAAAATGACTCTTCTTACACGGTTCACTTAATTTGGTAAGTTTAATACTGGGGCTGTGATTCTTGCAATGTAAAGATGATCAATCATAGTATTTATTCTCTCTAAATTACCTTCTTCTACATCTATGCTCTCAATTCACCACCGTCAATCCAATTCAAGATTGGTAGAAAATCCCCCGGATTCAAGATCCCACAGTGTCAAACCTGAAAACCAAAACAAAAAACAAAAAGAACTTTTTCACCGTCTCAAATCTTTAACCACATGACCACATGGTCCCTCCTCTTTCACGGCCTCAGACGGTTTTTTTCATTCCCCAAAAGGCTCTCACTTAGAGTCACTTCAGAGTTTGACAGTGAGGAGTCCATATTCTTACACAAAATCTCCACCAAGTTCTTTGATGCCTTGCCATTGAAATTTTCGTTCAAGAATAATAGTAATGGTGAACTCTGTCAGCCCCAGTTGGCTTTCACTTCCAAACACCTCTCTATTGACTATGATGTTAAAGAAAGAACGCCGTTGTTCTGTCCTCCTTTGATGTTGGCCCTAGCTTCACTTTGATGCTGCCCATGATACCAGGTTTGATTTTTATCTTACTTTTATTAGATAATGGTGTTTTCTGAAATGGGTTTGTTTTAGTTTGTGTGAATTGACTCTCAGATGTTGAATTCTGATCCAAATGGAGTTGGGTTGGAATTGGTTCTTGTTGTGTAATGTATTTTTGTGTCCTTTGTGCTTTGTAAACATGCTATTTCTATTTTAGGACAAACGAGTAGAAGTGGCAGTGCTTGCAGGCCTAGCTATCCTGGCCTAAATTGCAGTTCTGGTCTCCAGTTCAGCCGTCTCTAGAACATTTTTGACCCTAGGCAAGATTTATTTTAGCGGTCTTCTAATAATATAAGCGTATATTAAAAAATTATTTCAAATTTATTTTTCTTGCCTTTTGAGATCGCAAATCACTAATTAAATTTTATATTCAAGTTTAGAACCAAATCTTTTTCAATTGATAATATAGCCAAATTACCTAATCTTTCTTGTGACATAGTTGAACGCAATAAGATTTTATTAACTTTAATTTTGAAAAACTTCTTTCTGCTGAAGCTATATAACAGGAATATTAACAGTATTCTATAAGCTATCCTGGCATTTGGAAAGAATTCACTTTTTTTATAAAATCTAGTACTCAAGTGGTGTTTTAATTTCTACGTTTATAATTTCTTTTAAATTTTTAATTCTGAATATAAATCTAACCATCAATATCAAGAGCAGTGTCATGTTTTAAAAAGTTTTCAAGATTTAAACAATGTTTCTGTAAACTATCATCATCAAGCAATTTTAACTTTTCTATATTATAATGAAACCAAAATTATTACTATATTTTCAAATTGTTTTTTTCTCTTATTATACGCTTTTCATGAAATTTTGGTTCTATATTCATTTGCTCTGCAATCTCTTTAATAGAAATCATAGAAGATGTAAACCCATTTTCTCTATATTTTTTAAAAAATAAATAAGACCTTCAACTGATCTGTTGTAACAACAATGTCCATATTTTTAAATGAAATTTTACTAACCGTATTAACAGCAAATACATTTCATACCAATATTCATGCCTAATAGAATTCAAAATTTTCAATCTCATAGGTTACTAAAGATAGCTTCACTTTTTGTTTTAGGATCTTCAATATTTTCTGCTAATTGATATAAAGCATCTCTTATTTGTGAGCTTGAAATTTTATTGCTTTAACACTTTCAACACGACTTTCCCAACGTGTTTGTGATAATGGCTTAAGTGTCAAATTAGAAACATGATCTTGCAAAATTTTCCATCGTTTTGTAGAAGAAGAAAATAATGAGTATATACGTTGTGTCACTCCAAAAATGTAATAGCATTAGTACATGAATTGCCATATCACAAAGAACTAAATTAAGACTGTGACAACCACATGGTGTATAAAATGCTCTAGAATTTATATCTAATAATCTTTTTTGCACACCTTGATGTTTACCTTTCATATTAGACCCTATCTTATCCTTGTCCTTCACATTATTTACATCAATTCAAGTTTTTTTAATATAGTTGTGAAACATTAAAAAGGCCTTGACCAGAAGTATCATCCACTTTTATAAATCTATAAAGTATTCTTCTATTTTATTGGATTTATTAATATCTACACATCTTATATAAGTGACATTTGTTCTGATGACTTGTATCTGGGGTACATCTAGTATAACTGAAAAATATTTTGATTCTTTGATTTTTTTTAATAATGGTATTTCTTATTTCTAATGCTAAAATTTTTATCAACTCATTTTGTATTATGACCAAGATAATGAGTATGAATTTCTCCATTTTGAATACTTCTAAGGTGTTCTTGCTTATTATTGGATCAAACCAGCAATCATTTCAATTAAACTCAAAAAATTTCCATTTTTTCTTGATAAATCTTCTCATTTGTACCACAAAATGCCAATTTATTTTTGAAAGATTTTTTACAACCGCTATAATTCTTAATAGTACATTCTTCCAATGCTCTTTCTCTTATTTATTTTCTCTGTAAAATTTTATCAATTGTTTGTTTTTAAGCAATCTCTCTCAACATCAACCCAAATGTTCAATTATAGCATGTTCATTGCTTGTTTCGTGACTTTTAAGCTTGGCACTAAGATTTTCCAATCTCCACACCCTTCATTTGCTAATTGAATTGTATTTGCTTTTAAACTAAATATTTTACAACAAAACAAAATACTTTATTAATTCTTTTGAATATATTAGCCATTTTCTATCATGTTTTTCTCCATTTGGTAATTTTCGAATGTAATGAATTGTAGAAAAATGTCTAGAATTTTCATCTCTTGGAAAATCTAAAACTTGTCTAATTGGACCTTTCTCACTAATAAATCACATAAGTTTGTGTCTAAATTATTCCAGTGTACCGGTCATAATATTTTTAATAGTTTTTTTATATCTATTCATTAATATTTCATTTTTGTCGAATGAAATTTCTTCTTCTAAATTTTCATGAGACTCTTCACTAGTATTTGATGAATTTGAACTTTTATCTTTAAAATTTCTTCACAATTTCAATTGTTTTTTCATTTAAATCTTCATTTGGTTTTTCTAGCATTTGGTGTTTTGTATTAAAACAAATTTATCAAGTGAACCTTTTTGGGATTGAATTAGTTCTTCTATTTTTTTTTTTTTTTCTTACGTTTTTCAAATCCAGATTCATACTTCCTAGTAGACATCTATATTCAAGAATAAATAATTTAAAGCTCTAATATTTTTGTTAAAATAAAAATATTAAAAAATTAGAAAGAACTTTAGCACCTGATATGCCCCGATTTTGCTTTTTGCTGTGCGATACTCAAAAATCTTATATTATTACCCTGCATAAAAATAATAATGTATCAATTATTCACTTGATCAAATATAAAATAAAATCAGTTGAGAATACTAAGGTAAAATGAAGAGTAAAATGATTTAAAACTCTTAATATTACCTTGCATAATAATAATAATGTAAATCACATTCATTTGAAAATTTATGTAATCAAGTTAGAAATAGAGACAAGAGATGAAAAAGAGAGACAGAGAGAGATGCGAAGGAAGATGTAAACTGAGTAGAGATTAGAGAATAATGAGAGTAAAAATGAGAAAACGTTGAAGTAAAATGAGGTTTATATAAGAGATTGGGGGAAGAGGAGATGTATTTGATTTTGAGAGTTGGAATTGCGTGAAATTGTATCATTTTCAACGGAAAAATAGCCGCCAATTGTGTTTAAGTAAGCATGGTTGATTAGACATGGTGAGATTGATGGGAATTGATATATTAAATACTCTTAAAAAAAATCTTGGGCAAAGATAGACATGGCGAGTCTGGTGGGATTGGTAAGAATTAAAAATTATAAATATATTTTAATATTTTAAAAAATAATTTGAGGTCCTCTCTTTTACCTCTTTTTTGGGGGGCCCACCTGCCTAGTGGTTAAGCCGGCCTGCTCCAGTTCCATTTGTTGGTTTGGTGAGTGTAACTTGTCATTTAGATTTTAGTTTTCACTTGTTTTCCCTTTTGCAGCAACGTTAGTTTTACCAGACAATTAGTCCTACGGAGAAGTAGATGGTCAGCAGATAGATTTGAGCATTCATTTGTTTTGGCTTTCTACTGAAGGTAGTTTGAGCAGACTCTTAGTGATATGGGGAAGTAATGGTACAGGTTCTCTAAGTAGAGTAAGATTATTGTTGTACCACTGAATGATGATATTTGTGTCATAATTTTACTGCATTGACTGACGGTTAATCGTCTTCTTTTTTTTTTTTTTTTTTTTTTTACACTTTAGTTATTGACATGATTTTGCAGCCGACACAACCTTCAATTTCCGATTGGTGAAATTTCGTTGGAGCAACGAAAGGAAAAAGGAAAGGAGAGAATATTGCCGCTATTTGCTTGGGCTGAAGGTCAGATTTGGAATGGATCTGCATTGCTCATACAAAAAGGGAGAGGAAATGAAACTAAGATACACCTATAAGGTAGTGTTGTCTTAGCGTTTTGCTTTTGTTTTTGTTTTTTGTTTTTTTTTTTTTTTTTTTTTTGGCTTTTTACCTAGTTGGCTTTGCTGGTTACTTATGTTGATTGCTAGGCTGTCTTCCTATATGGTTACTCATGTTGATTAATAGGACATTCTAGACGTGTGCAGAGTTATCAATTCTGAGTTCTGACTGCCCCTTTTTTTGAATGGTGCTAATTATTCCTTTCATTGTTAATTGTAGGATGATGAAATGTCATTCATTCCAACCATTACACTTCCTTCAAAGGCAGTATCATTTGCGTTCAAGCGTCGGTTCAGTCCATCTGATAAAGTGAGGTTAGAGTTCTATCTCTCACTTGCTGGCTCCACTAAACACAAGCTTTCTTTTTAGTTCATGATTCATCACAATTCATGCTATGGCAAATGGAAGTATATAATATTTGCTGTTTTGTTCTTTTTTGAGGAACCATTTTGTGATATAATATAACATTTTGCGGAGAACTTATCAAGAGGGATTCTTATGGTATGATGTTTGCACATTCTTTGTTTTCCCAACGTTGTTTGGCTACAACACAGTCTCTCACAATGGAAGAGGACTGCCACTGGCAATTACCATTGTACTAAATGTCCTAGGCAGTAAGATATTGACAATATGATAAGAATCATGTAAAATGATCATCTGTTATGTGAGTAAATGAGATTGTTTTATTTTTATTGAACCTTTCATCAAATTGACCGTATGGATGATACTAGTCAAAATGCACAATGATGACTTGGTGGTCAGCATGAATTTAATTGGTACATGATTGATATCCATTAGGAATTTGCAGAACTGGTATATACTGGCTGGTCTGGGATGGTATTGTTGACATCAGTTGATATTGATACTATAAAACCTTAATTGTTTTATTTGAAAAATGAGTAAACTTTTAGAATTTCCGAGTAATCCCCTGTAATCCGATGTCTTACAATCCACTTGCAATTTCATAAACGTTCAGTTTCGGTTGTAAGGTTCTTCTACAAGCAAACTAATCCTCTTTTGTACTTAAGTATATTACTGAATATCATAAATGTTAAAATACTAAGAAAATGTGCTCAACTCCCCATACTAGAGTCCAGAGGGGCACTAATTTACTTTTTTAGATCGTATTTTATTACCTATAGATAATGCATGTGTGACCAGAGTCATTATTCATTTCTTTCTAGAATATTATGACTTGAAATTTATGTTAGAATCAAAGGTCGCTTAATTCTGGAAAGTGTAAATGCTATCTCCTTCAATGTGACCATGTTCTGAATGTTGAGCCTTGGGTTAGAACTGTGAAGTCCTATTAACTGAGTCCATCAAATGCTAAATCCTTTATTGTAAAGTGCTCAACGGACTTTCATGCAGCTTGGTTTGTCAATCGTGATGTTTTTTTTATTGTTCATTGATTTTAATTACAATGCAGCTATTGGTACAATTTGATTCCAACTTCTGGAGTGTGGTGTACAAGCACACCTATGGCAAAGACTAAGCTGGTTATGACTCAAAGCTGCATCTAAGCTGGGTGTCTCTCTGGGTAAGTGGTTGTTCTTAACATTTTTACCGCGATAAAAGTCTGTGAAGATGTCTTTGCATGAGATATTTTTCATCAAAAGGAGCTATCATCATGACTTCAGGACTCCTATATTCAAATCTCAGGTCGGTGACGAAAAGGGCAAGGCAAAAACAGCGCCAATGAAGATGAAAGTCCAGTTTATGATCCAAGTGCTACGAGGTGACATCAAATCACCGGCATTAATTTTCCATGCTAAAAAGAGGTGGGATATAGAGACATATTAGTGTACAACTAGCTCTTCCTCCATATCTAACATGTGACTTCTATTAGTAATGGTACATGGGCCATTTTAATGATGCTTTTGCTACATATAACGACATCATTTTTTGTTCCATCTTCAAATAATTTCTTCCCACTAGAAAGCAGGTGATTCCCATCTGGTTATGTTGCCAAAACTACAATGCTTCAGAGTATTCTCCAATTGACAGGAAGTAACAAAACCCAATTCATATTTTTTGTATTCATCTGCAGAGCCTATTGTTTTTCTGTAAATCTTGATTCATTTTGACATTTTTGGTGCAATCTTTTTTCTAGCCAAACTTGTTATGTGCTTTCGAGGGTGAAACCTTATGTAGGCGGATGTACATACAACGGAAATGAAGGAGTTCATGTATGTCACTCTTGCTACATATCACCACTTCATTGGGTAACTTTTTTGCTTTAAAGAGTTCCCATCTCAATGCGGGTTCCCAAAAAGTATGGAAATTTGTCTCTTTTTCTTTGGACTCTGTTTTGAGAATTTGGAAGCCAATTGGCTTCACTTTGTTTGAAGGAAATACGACAATAATGCTTATACAAATTTATATGATGCACATAAACGTATAATATGAAGGTGGTATCTTCCAAGTTCAACATGTAAAGAGGAGTGTTGATCTAAATTGCTGAGTGTAAAAGTAGCTCATCTTCTTTTGACATACATCTCATTGCATGAAAATTAAAAATATATCAAATTATAATCGAACATATGTTAAGTGAAAGGGCAACGCCCTTCCAAGTAGTGTGTTGACCGCGCATATAAATATATAATGTTATTAATCCAAAATTTCCGTTCGAAACTTAAACAAATGGATATTTTCTATATTTTTTCACATGATATGATCATATAAATGATGGTTATATGTCATTAAATAACAATTTGAGAATAAGAGTAATTGGGTATGTTTGGTTTGTTATTTTGGATATGATTTTGAAGATATTATTGGATAGTTGAATAAGGTGATTATTATGAGGTAAAATTTAAAAATTTATAAAAAAAAAAAAAAAAAAAAAAAAAAAAACTCTTTAGGTTTGTTAATTTAACTAAACACCTTAATATATAAAAATTTTGTAAAATGACAAAAACACTCCCGCCCACCCACAATGCCAGATTCTGGCCACCACTGTCGGAATCTGGCATTACGACACAGATTACGTGGATCTGGTCGGATGTGCGTCGATCTAGTCTTTTTCGGACAGATCCAACACAGATCTGGTCGAAAAAGGCCAGATTGATGGCCAAAGATATGGCCATCGTTGTCGGTCAACGACAACCATTTCTTTGGCATCCATTACGGATCTAGTCAGAAAATGCCATATCGGTGAATTACTGGCTATTTTCGGTTATTTTTAGGCTATTGTGATAGATTCTAGCTACCACCGATGGTGGTTGCTGGAATTTGGCAATTATGGGTGAGTGAAGGTGTTTTTGTTAATTTTTAGATCTTTTTTATGAGGGTATTTAATAAAATTAATAAACTTAAGGGAACTAAAAGTAATTAAAAAAAATATATAATAATATTTTTTAAATAATTAAACAAACAAATATTTTGGGAATAGAATTGAGAATATAGATAAAAATATTAAACCAAACACATGATATTTCGATGAATTACGGTTTGCGTTGCAAAACCTTATATCTACACAATTGACGACAAAAATTAGAAAAAAATAAAATTACTCTTAAGTAAATCATTTCATAATTTACTATTAACCATGTGACATTTTGGTAGAAAATAAAATTACACGTGGCATAATATAATCGGTGGAAAAAGATGTTACGATAGTCTTCCTCACATAAGATTAGTCTTATATAAGACTCACTTCTACTTTTTCCACTGAGAGTTGAAACCCTAGATCTTTGGTACACCACTTGGACTTGAAAGCTGTCAGCCTACTTCCCACCGGCGACAACTCTCGCCGGTCACTGCTCTTGCCGGCGCTGTATTACCGGATAAATGAGATTGATTTTATTTTTTATTGAACCTTTCGATCAAATTGACCTGTATGGATGATACTAGTCAAAATGCACAATGATGACTTGTGTGGTCAGCATGAATTTATATTGGTACATGAGTGATATCCATTAGGAATTTTGCTAGAACTGGTATATACTGGCTGGTCTGGGATGGTATTGTTGACATCAGTTGATATTGATACTATAAAAACTTAATTGTTTTATTTGAAAAATGAGTAAACTTTTAGAATTTTCCGAGTAATCCACTGTAATCCGATGTCTTGACAATCCTACTTGCAATTTCATAAACGTTCAGTTCTGTTGTAAGGTTCTTCTACAAGCAAACTAATCCTCTTTTGTACTTAAGTATATGTACTGAATATCATAAATGTTAAAATACTAAGAAAATGTGCTCAACTCCCCATACTAGAGTCCAGAGATGGCACTAATTTACTTTTTTAGATCGTATTTTATTACCTATAGATAATGCATGTGTGACCAGAGTCATTATTCATTTTCTTTCTAGAATATTATGACTTGAAATTTATGTTAGAAATCAAAGGTCGCTTAGTTCTGGAAAGTAGTAAATGCTACGATTCCTTCAAATGTGACCATGTTCTCAATGTTGAGCCTTGGGTTAGAACTGTGAAGTCCTATTAACTGAGTCATCAAATGGCTAAATCCTTTATTGTAAAGTGCTCAACGGACTTTCATGCAGCTTGGTTTGTCAATCGTGATGTTTTTTTATTGTTCATTGATTTTAATTACAATGCAGCTATTGGTACAATTTTGATTCCAACTTCTGGAGTGCGGTGTACAAGCACACCTATGGCAAAGACTTCAAATTCAAAGCTGGTTATGACTCAAAGGTGCATCTAAGCTGGGCGTCTCTCTGGGTAAGTGGTTGTTCTTAACATTTTTACCTCGATAAAAGGTCATGTGAAAATGTCTTGACATGAGATTATTTTTCATCAAAATGAGCCATCATCATGACTTCAGGACTCCTATATTCAAATCTCAGGTCGGTGACGAAAAGGGCAAGGCAAAAACAGCGCCAATGAAGATGAAAGTCCAGTTTATGATCCAAGTGCTACGAGGTGACATCAAATCACCGGCATTAATTTTCCATGTTAAAAAGAGGTGGGATATAGAGACAATATTAGTGTGACAACTAGCTCTTCCTCCATATCTAACATGTGACTTCTATATAGTAATGGTACATGGGCCATTTTAATGATGCTTTTGCTACATATAACGACATCAATTTTTGTTTCCATCTTCAAATAATTCTTTTCCCACTAGAAATCAGGTGATTCCCATCTGGTTATGTTGCCAAAACTACAATGCTTCAGAGTATTCTCCAATTGACAGGAAGTAACAAAACCCAATTCATATTTTTGTATTCGTCCGCAGAAGCCTATGCTTTTTCTGTAATATCTTTGATACATTTTGACATTTTTGGTGCAATCTTTTTTCTAGCCAAACTTGTTATGTGCTTTCGAGGGTAAAAACTTATGTAGGACGGATGTACATACAACGGGAAATGAAGGAGTTCATGTATGTCACTCGTGCTGACATGTTCTCATGTCAATGCAGGTTCCCAAAAAGTCTATGGAAAATTGTCTCTTTTCTTTGGACTCTGTTTTGAGAATTTGGAAGCCAATTTGCTTCACATTTGTTTGAAGGAAATACAAAAATAATGCTTATACAAAATGTATATGATGCACATAAACGTGTAATATGAAAGGTGGATATTCGAAGTTCAACATATAAAGAGGAGTGTTGATCTAAATTGCTGAGTGTAAAAGTAGCTCATCTTCTTTTGACATACATCTCATTGCATGAAAATTAAAAATATATCAAATTATAATCGAACATATGTTAAGTGAAAAGGCAACGCCCTTCCAAGTAGTGTGTTGACCGCGCATATAAATATATAATGTTATTAATCCAAAATTTCCGTTCAAAATTTAATATTTTCTATATTTTTTCACGTGATATGATCATATAAATGATGGTTATATGTCATTAAATAACAATTTGAGAATAAGAGTATTGAGTGCGATTGGTTTGTTATTTTGGATAAGATTTTAAAGATAGTATTAGATAGTTGAATAGGGTGATTATTACGAGGTAAAATTTAAAAATTTATAAAAAAAACTCTTTAGATTTTTTAATTTAATTAAATACCCTAATATATAAAATTTTTGTAAAATGACAAAACACCCCCACCCACCCACAGTGCCAGATTTCGATCGCCACCGTTAGAATCTGGCGTTACGACGTAGATTACGTGGATCTGGTCGGACGTGCGTCGATTTGCCCTTTTTCGACCAGATCCACCACGAATCTGGTTGAAAAATGCCAGATCAACGGCCAAAGATATGGCCGTCGTTGTCTGTCAACGACAGCCATTTCTTTGGCATCTATTGTGGATTTGGCCGGAAAATGCCAGATCGGCGAATTATCGATTATTTTTTGTCATTTTTAGGTTGTTGTGACAAATTCTGACTACCACCGATGATGGTTGTCGGAATCTGGTGATGTGTTTTTGTTAATTTTTAAACCTTTTTTGAGGTATTTATTGAAATTAATAAACATAAAAGGACTAAAAGTAATTAAAAAAATATAATAGGATTTCCTAAATAATTAAAAAAATATATATTTTGATAATATGATTTAGAATATGGATAAAAATATTAAACCAACTAGTGATATTTTCAAAATCAATCAATCCATGAATTACGGTTTGCATTGCAAAACCTTATATCTACACAATTGACGACAAAAATTAGAAAAAAAAAAAAAAAAAAAAAATTACTGTAGAAGATAAAATTCCACGTGGCATAATATAATCAGTGGAAAAAGAGGTTACGATGGTCTTCCTCACATAAGATTAGCCTTTTATATAAGACTCACTTCTACTTTTTACACTGAGAGTTGAAACCCTAGATCTTTGGTTCACCACTTACTTGAAAGCTCTCAGCCTACTTCCCACCGGCGACAACTCTCGCCGGTCACTGCTCTTGCCGGCGCTGTATTACCGTCTGGCCTTCATTCTCTTCGGTTAGTAGTTTATTTTAGTATTTCACTAATTTTATGTCATTTCTGATCAAAATTTGAACTCGCAGGTTAAGTTAAACTTAATTTGATAATTACATTATGCATTATATGATCAAAATTTGAACTCGCAGGTTAAGTTAAACTTAATTTGATAATTACATTATGCATTATTTTTCGTGTTCTAAGTTTAAAATGTTGTAGTGTTTGTATATGGATATTCGAGTTGAAGGTTTTCGAAAATTAAAAAAATAATAATAATTCTGAATTGGACTAACATTTTGTTCTAAGTTTCAGGTCTTATCTCGAGATTGTAATTGATTTCTATAAGATTCATTGTTCAGATAATTGCTTTTACTTTTTCGAGTTTGATAATGATTTTCAGAGAGATTGATTTTTGGGTTTTTTGGGGTGCCATTTCATCTAATTTAGCCATGTTTGAGTTTACGTGTAAGGTTTTGCTCATGTTTTCTGATGTATGATTTTGGTCAGTTATGTAGTGAAGTTTTACTGAAACTTGGACTTTTTTTGTTTGACTTCAGAGCAACTCCTGCTGTGTGGCTGTTTTAGCTGGACAGGATGGACCAGGTAGAGGGGAAAAAGCAGTTATTATTTAGGTTATAGTTGTAGCTGTTTATTAATCTATGTGTTATCTTGAACTGATTGTAATGTTGCTGAATTGCTAGTACGAGAAAGTTGAGAAGATTGGTGAAGGAACTTATGGTGTTGTGTACAAAGCTCGTGACCGCACCACCAATGAAACAATAGCATTGAAGAAAATCCGTTTAGAGCAGGAGGATGAGGGTGTGCCTAGTACTGCTATTAGAGAAATCTCCCTCTTGAAAGAAATGCAGCATGGGAACATTGTTAGGTGTGTATTCTACTCATCTAGTTGAGTTCTTGTCCAATAGATTGTGTGTATTCTCACTCATTACGGGATGTGGAATAATACACCGTGACCCTAAATTATGCTTTGTTTCATAGCAAAAGAAAAGAAATTGGTGAGCCTATATAAAACAAACTTGATTTTAATTAGTGTTTCTTTGGTCACAGGTTGCAGGATGTAGTACACAGTGAGAATCGTTTGTATCTAGTTTTTGAGTATCTAGACTTGGATTTGAAGAAGCACATGGATTCATGTCCTGATTTTGCAAAGGACCCACAATTAGTAAAAGTGAGTGGTATATTTCTGCTATCTGGTCTATCCAAAAAAGTAAAATAAAATAAAAAAGGAAAAGAAAGAAGAGGAAAAAGAAAAGAGTAAATTCTGTTCTCTGCAGTTTCATGTATTTTCTGCTTGAGGATTTGAAGTATTTCATCAATAGGTTGGAAATTTGAACTATCTAATTCAGAATATCCTAATGCTTTAAGAAATTTAACTGTTAATAATGCTTTTGATTTGTTATTTTCTTATAAATGTAAGTTGTACTTATTATCCACAAAAGTTGTGCCCTCTGTCCAGAAGAGGCCATGAATTCACCACCTACATATACTTGTTCATTTATTTTCTCTATTCATAATTTTCAAGTTTATCAAGAAGAATTACAATGCTGTAGGATTAGATGTATACTTACCTATATTATGTCTTCCCAATTATCATTCTATATATGTTATTACATTAGCGGTCCCTTATCTACTAGTCAGCTCACAATGATGGATCTTAATTTACTGTGCCTGGTACAATTAAAATGGTTACCACAATAATATTGATTTTGTCTCATCACTGCAGACATTCCTTTATCAAATTCTCCGCGGCATTGCGTATTGCCATTCTCATAGGGTTCTTCATCGAGATTTGAAACCACAAAATTTGCTGATAGATCGCCGTACAAATGCATTAAAGCTTGCAGATTTTGGGCTGGCCAGAGCATTTGGTATACCTGTTAGGACATTTACACATGAGGTATCAATTAGCACTAGCTCTGTGTTTTATTGGTAATTATGTCTTTTTGCTGTTGTTTAGTGAGAGCATAGCAATGCATTAAGGACACTCCAGTGGTCTTGTATTTATACAGGTCTGAGCACAGATAGATGTATGAGCAAAACTTGTTATTTTTATTTTGGTGAGGTAGCCAATTGTTAGTGTGGCCAATGTTATTTATTTCTCAATATGTCATGAGGGTGAGAGAGAGAAAGAAACCAGGAAATATTCGAAGTGTATAAAAACAAAGGAAGAGAGGTATGAGTTATGAGAGTTAGAGATATCAAATTGCATTGAGGTAGAGAGAGAAGTTGTAGATGGAAACCTGTTGTATTTTTGGGTTGGGAAGGGGAAAGGAGGGAATTAGCAACCAATCACTGATCTGTGCTAGATCTTTAATTTCCAATTATATCGTACATTGGCAAGTTTAATGATTATGAATTTCGTGTTCACCATGTAGCATGTGCTAGGTTCATAATCATTATCGGTTATCTCTAGGTTGTGACACTATGGTACAGAGCACCTGAAATACTGCTAGGATCTCGTCATTACTCTACTCCAGTTGATGTGTGGTCGGTGGGATGTATATTTGCTGAGATGGTGAACCAGCGGCCGTTATTTCCTGGAGATTCAGAGATTGATGAATTATTCAAGATCTTCAGGTTTATAATTTTCCAGCATAATTTGGGTTCCTTCAATTTGTCTAAGAAAAAATATATTAGTTGCATCCTTTTCAGAAAATGGAAAGTAAATGCTCTATGTCAATATATTTATATTTTTGCAAGACTAAACTATATTGTTTGTTTGTAAAATTAAAAATAATACAGGCTTATCTACCTGTAAATATTTTCAAAGAAAGACTTGTGGAGCACCCTCTAAATGTTACATATATTTAGATAGGTGAAGATTGGCTCTTCTGTGACTGTTCATTCTAGACAGAGGCTGACATTCATTTTGTCCGTCCCTAATGTGCACAATCATGTGTGATCAATGAACTATAATTGTTGAAATTTAAAAAGGTTTTATGCTTAAATTGTTTAATGTCTATACCCAGATTTAGCAATTGGAGGTTAGATCTATTAAATGTTGAATATCTTTTTTCCGTCAATAGCTATGTATATCCTTTCTCTTTGAAACAATGACAAATGAATGGCTCCATTTATTTTAAGTAGGATCTGAAAGTATGAGATTCAAGTATTCATAAAAAACTTGGAGGTTCTCGGTTACAGTGATAGTAAAATTAAGGGTTCTCAATGTTTAGCACAGGAAATAGAAAGTACAAGTTTGTTGTTTAGAATGAGGCAAATGAAAAAAACTCATGGTCATTATCATATCTTACAGTTTCAAGTTAGGTTTTTTGCATAGTTCTTTCTAGAAGATTCTGAAATTACCCATTGATGGTGATTACTTTATACACCATGTTCTTTATATCTAATCATCTTGGGTTGTATCTTAAGTTTTTTATTGATTTTAGTTGTTTTGGTGCAAACACACATTTTTGTATTGAAGGGTCTTAGGAACTCCAAATGAGGATATATGGCCTGGAGTGACTTCTCTGCCTGATTTCAAATCTGCCTTTCCTAAGTGGCCTCCGAAGGTAATGGGAAAATTTTTGCTGTCATGTTTGTTTCTTTCAGCATCAATTTCTCTGAATATATTGTTTCTTTGGGAGAAAAAGATAAGAGTGTAATATTACTGTCAACTTTACTTGATGCACCATATATTTGCAGGATTTGGCAAGTGTAGTTCCAAACCTTGGGCCAGCCGGTGTTGATCTTCTTTCTGTAAGTTTGGATTTAAGATATTTACCATTCATCATTTCCCTTTCTGCATTATAATGCCAGTGTTGAACTAAAGCTCTTTACTCCATATCCCAAGTACCTAGGTACTCTACCCTAGTTTTCGCTTCCTCTGCTAAGCTATCTGCATCTCCACACCTGCTTTCCAAAATGGAACCAATGCTCTATCTATTTATAGGTTAATTATGCAAGTTTAGACCAACTAATGATCTCCATAGCTCAAGTAGGCAGCTTATTGCAGATATATTTTGTGTCCTGTGGTGGAGACAAATTTGTGGTGGAGAAGAAATGGACAAAAATTCTAGAGGACATGCCTATAGGAGGAAGATGTTTTTGTTTAGATTTCTAGAGATTGAGAGAGTTGCAGGGTTGCTATTTTTAGCAGCCAATGCTGGCACGTGTGAAGATCAGTTTAGTTCTAAAGTCTTTCTGCTCTTTAGATAATTTTTTTTTTTTTTGATTTAAAGTTTCTTGACGGCAGTTTTTGTGAAGTTGTCAATAATATAGTATCGTGTAGACCTGTTATAGGGCCTAAACCAAAAGCTAGTGAATTATCACCATTGGTATACAACCTTTGGCGTCGCTCTATGATCTGCCTGGTGCTGTATTAGATAAGCCGAAGCCTTATCTCTCTAAACCTTTCTTTCTACTTTGTCGTGTGATGTATCACTATTGTACGATGAACATGTGAAATCAAATCCTTGTTTTCTGATTTTTCCACGATTTATTAACTTATGGAGTTGCGTATTCCAGAAAATGCTCTGCATGGATCCAAGTAGAAGAATCACAGCGAGAAGCGCACTAGAGCTGAATACTTCAAGGATATCGGATTTGTACCCTAGTACCTCCTTCGTTCATGGTGTAGAGAGAACATTGTCATATTGTTGTGTAGGCATTCTCTGGGTTTTGATTGTTTTTTATCTGCTTTCTTGCTTCTTTCTTTTCAACTTTTAAAGACCAAATCCTTATTAAACTGACCGCATTTTGCAGTTTTGTTTTTTTTTTTTTTTGGGGTTGAATCTCCTAGTCTCACCTATATATATTCCCTTTGTCCCTTTTGTGGAATGAAACGATTTGTAATGGACAATTATGTTCATAAAAAAAAAAATATATTTAGTTTTTTTTTTCTTTAATCTTTTTTTAATTTGGAAATCGAATTCTCTGACTTGCGTGCAATTTAATCTAATATTTGTTTTACTTTGTAGTTAATGAAAATTATCTTTAAAATATGTGAAATGTTCTACCGATTATACACATGGCCATGCAAGTCCACTATTGGATAATTGATCAAATCAAATATAGGAAGAGAGTCAGTTAAAAAAGGCTATAAATGGGAAAGCCCATTTTCGTCATCATTATATACTTTATACACAACTAGAAAGAGTTAATAAATAAAAGTTTCTTATTTAGTCTTCCTTTGTTTTCTTCTGTTCCGTTACTCTTCAGTCCCTTTTAGTTTATTTTATTAAAATTATACCACTAATACAGTAATATAGTGACATGAAACTATGTAAACGGCTCACTACTCTAGTGTTCATAGATGTAAACTATTTGTTTTATCAAACGAGTAATTTTATACTCATAACTTTTTCTTACAAACTTTCTTTTATAATCTCGATGTGATAATTTGTAATTAATTAGTTGTAATGAACTAAATGAAACCCAGATGAGACTCATTGTAAACTAACTCAATCGCAATTTAGCAGGTGAAACCAAGATATGATTCATTGTAAACTAACAAATTACGAATTATCACGTCAAAATTATAAAAGAGAGTTTATAAAAAGAGATTGTGAGTGTAACATTTTCTTTATCTGATCAATGGAGGATTATATTGTTTAAAAATGACGCATGTAATTTTAAATTTAAGTTCTCTTTGTTGTTAAAATTATCCTTAAATATTTAATTTATATTAGCTTGCCATGCTTTATTCCAAAAAATAGATCTTGTATACTTAACAATCTTGAAGAATGAATTATTATTTAATGATTCAGCAACACTTTGGATAAAACTTATAACAAAAACAAAGAAATTTCAGAGATTTCCATTGAGGTTTTATTTAGTTTATCACAATCAAACTAAACTAATTTTTTTTTTTATTTTTTAGCTAAAATGCTTACCCACAAGTGTTAAATTCTTGCATATTAGTCCTGTATTTTTATTGTTCCTCAAAAGCTCTCTCCATATGAACCCTTTACCCATTCAAACTTCAGTACCTTCATACAAAGAACATATCATTAAGAATAATTTCAACTACATGTAAAAGAAAATTTTGCATCAAAATGAATCTTTCATTACATAATGTAAGATTTTGGCGACCATGTGTCAAACATATGCCATCAAAACAGTTTGTATATGGTTTTCTACCAATACACTTGCACAATATAAGAAATAAAAGTCTTGACAAACTGTACATTAACTAACCATTGTTACTTGCTGCAAATATTTATTGATTCTCATGATCTGATTAATGTAAACGTATTGCATAAGTTGTGGTTATAGAATTCAAAATTATTAGGGGTCAAAGATCGGGGAACGGATGAAGGAGAAGGGGATGGAAAATACCTCTATATTAACTGGTAGAATCAAAAGTTAGTTGCCGTCGTCATCAGAATAACCACCATCGCTATCTGGCTCATAAGTCTGAAATTCCCCATCGCTGGCATTGTCGTCTTGTTTATTGTCACCACCAAATTCACCGGATGGAAAACTCCCAAAAAGCTCTTGTAAATATAATTTTGAGTTGTTCCCCCAATCTGCATCTAATATACGTATAGGAAAACTAATGAAACCAGGAAATATACATACAGGGATAAACTTAAAAGTGTTAAAATAGTGTATAAATATGATAGGTACACCAATTAGCTAGAGTTAAGGCTTACAATAGGTTTGGGGAATTCAAATAAGCATTTCGAAGTATAAATGAGGTCCACATATTAGGGGAGACGGAGGCTTAACATCTGATCCCATTTTTGGGATGTTCTCACCCAATAAAGAGTAAACTCACACTCAGAAAAACTTGATAAATAACTTCTCTCTGAGTAATAAAGTAATACTGCACAATGTCCTTTGCTTCTTTCAAATAGAACATTGTTGATTAAATTTCATTCCAACACAAGTATGTGAAACTAGCTGGAATCATTATCGCTTATTCCAAAGATGCATGTCTTAAAGGAAATGCACATGCAAATATTATTCAAGGATACATGAATGAGATTGAAAAGGGATTTCTTCTTCCTCATTGACCTACAAAAAGAGCATAAGAGAAAGAGATAAGACAGAACCAGGAGTAGAGAATATACTGATACTTAAGAAGGTGGGGAATATGCAAAACACATAGCCAGAGAAGGCATTTAATTACCAGATCCAGCGCTTCTGCATCTGATTCATCTTCACTGTTATCAACCTCTATTCTATCTTCTTCTTCCTCATCCTCCTCAATTCTATCTTCATCCTCAACTTCCTCTATCCTATCTTCATTCTCATCACCAAGAATTTCACATTTTTCTTTATCTTTGTCACCTATAAGCTCCAAATCGAAAAATTTGATCAGGACTTTGATATTTTAGCAACTAGTACAGATAGAATATTGATTAGAAAACATTAAAATAAATTGCATATAGTTCTTTGATACAAACTGCTGCAATCATTTATGGAAAAATGGAGTATAGCAGGACTATCAGGACCAATTTTAAAAGACTGAAAAAAAAAAAAAAAAAAAGAGAAACACACTAAAATACACAATCAGCAAAGTTTCAGTTATATTTCTGGACAATTATTACATGGTAAACTAATAAAACCTTGGCAAATCTAAGGCAAGGAACAAGGATTTCCATGGAGAAGCAATGGATTCTAGAGGGGGGAAAAGCACATATTTACTGTACAAATTCAAACAATCAGTATAGAAAATTATTATAAGCATGACAAAATTTTCACACTATTTGCAGTCGGGTGATAGAAAATTGGAAGAGTAGGGTAGCAGAATGAACCAACAACATACACTTTATCAAGGAGTAAATATAACAGAAATTAATTGAAATTGTAACCTTTATTCACATGCTGGTGTCCCTTTTGATCAGGTTTTAAAGTATGACTCAAAAATGAAATCTTCTTTAACTTAGCAAAGCGGTCTGAAGCAGTTTTCAGTAAGTTCCCAGCACCCGGTTCAGGGTACACTGACAGAAACCTAACCTCAACACGCTTTCTTATAAGAGCAAGCACATGCCTTGAGAACCATCCTGTTTCCAACTGCAAACTTTATATCATAAAAATTGGAGCTTTAAACATGATATAGCAATAGCATGCAGATAGTACACACATATTAGATACAAAATTAGATGAACAAATTGTTTACTTGCGCAGAACTACTCCATGTAAGTCAGTCCAAACGAAAAAACATGAAATAAAACTAGCAGCATACAATTTAAAAAATAAATAAAACAGGTAAACAGTAAAGAAACTAAAACTTTAAGCTAAAATTAATTAACACAGACATGCGCAGATACATATACAAAAATATATGAAACTTACAGAGCAAGTTGTTTCCTTCGTAGGCTTTCTTATCTCTTGTTGAATGTAGTCATCAGCAAGTTCAAATAGTTGTAATGATGTACTGCATTTGGTAGGAAACACTTTGAATGCACATAAATCTTTCCATCTATTCTTCAATCTGTGGGAAGGAGAGACCATTGAGAGAAGAAAATGCTAAACAAAATTCCTGAACTTTGCACAAGTAACTATCATCTACAGATCTAGAAGCACACTATTCATCTACCAAATACATAGTTTAAAAAGAAATTAGCATGGATTATCCACTTTTTTGTTTTCCATCTCTCCACTATATGAACAAAGGTTTAAAACAGACACCGAAATTCCACCATGGTAAAACCAGAAGTTCCAGCTAAGAAATAATTATTCCTCATGCCTAAAGATTTCAAACAAGTTAAAATATCATCAGGTCAAAAGGTCACCAGTATATGTGGTTTCTCAAGTACCACTTAAGCTGTTGTTTAATTCTCTATAGGGTTCTACAAAGGTACCCAGGATTTAAAGGGCTACTCCACATTATGTAGCCCAGCACTTCAAAGAATAATGAACTTTAAAGGGATCAATAGCTCTTTCATGCTGACATTTCAATTGGACTATACCAAACACCTAGCCATTAAGTTTAAGCATTTATAAAGAGAATGGAAAAAACTTTAGGAAAAACTTACTTAGCACCTGCGTTAGACTCACAATAGCTCCGTACTTGTGGCTTTACTCGATAATCAATTCTTTGATATCTGCTTAAAGAAAATTCTTAGAATGTAAGCATCAAGATAAAGGCTCAAAACAGAAAATAAAAAATAATAGTAATAGAAAACTTAAACAACCAGCACTAATTTTACAGGGGGATTCATCTCTACAATTTTCTGTATCAGCCTTAATAATGACATGCATGGAAGTTGTTCAATTTTTTTTAGCACTACTAGTTCAAATCCAAGTCATGCTTCCAGTCACAATTTAATGAGAGCACTTTAAAACAATGAAAATCCAAGTCATGCTTCCAGTCACAATTTAATGAGAGCACTTTAAAACAATGAAGTGCACTAAATCGAAACAGAAGTGCAAAAGAGTATTTAGGTAGAAATCTCACATGCGAGATTCTGGATCTTTGCGAGGATCATACCCTTTTCTGATCCAGAACCTGAGAAAGGGTCCATTAGAAAAGTAGTATGCATTTCCAAGTAGAAGCCTGTAAAACCAGACAAAAGCAGAATATCAAATTTTTCCACAAAGCAGAAAAAGAAAAAGAAATCGTTTCAGGTCACCTTAAGCAACCCAAAATATTTATGTATACAATGGTGAGCTTCTAGGCAGAAAACCTTTTAAGCATTAGCCTGTTAAATTTTAGACCTTCATCAAGCAACCGCTCAATAAGAGATGCTTTAGGCCATATAGGCCGTTCATCAAAGAGCTTAGATACAGCCATCTGCCACTTCCATTGCTCAGAATCTCGGGATATGATTTCCCCCCAGTTTACTTTTTCGGGAATCTGTAAGAACGCTAAGTACAACGGAAACAAAAGGCACAAAATAATGCAGGATATATGTTGAAAAAATGTCAGATTCCATTAAATGCCATAAAAGGTAATATCTAAGTGTTGTTTTATATAAATGCCCTCCATACATGAAATGTTAAATAATCATAGAATTGTTGCAAGCCACCTGGAACAGCAAACTCCAAACATTACATAATCACAGAATTGACGTATCATATTTTGATTAAATTGCAGAAGAAAATTCCAGGCATGTCAGAAATGTCATCTGATTAAATGTGCAAAAATAGACATCATACAAATCATAGAATATTGATTAGAAAACATTAAAACAAATTGCATATAGTTCTGTTATACAAACTGCTGCAATCATTTATGGAAAAATGGAGTATAGCAGGACTATCAGGACCAATTTTAAAAGACTGCCAAAAAAATAAAAAATAAATAAATAAAAAAAAGAAAAAAATAGAGAAACACACTAAAAAACACAATCAGCAAAGTTTCAGTTATATTTCTGGACAATTATCACATGGTAAACTAATAAAACCTTGGCAAATCTAAGGCAAGGAACAAGGATTTCCATGGAGAAGCAATGGATTTGAGAGGGGGGAAAAGCACATATTTACTGTACAAATTCAAACAATCCATATATAAAATTATTATAAGCATGACAAAATTTTCACACTATTTGCAGTCGGGTGATAGAAAATTGGAAGAGTAGGGTAGCACAATGAACCAACAACATACACTTTATCAAGGAGTAAATATAACAGAAATTAATTGAAATTGTTACCTTTATTCACATGCTGGTGTCCCTTTTGATCAGGTTTTAAAGTATGACTCAAAAATGAAATCTTCTTTAACTTAGCAAAGCGGTCTGAAGCAGTTTTCAGTAAGTTCCCAGCACCCGGTTCAGGGTACACTGACAGAAACCTAACCTCCACACGCTTTCTTATAAGAGCAAGCACATGCCTTGAGAACCATCCTGTTTCCAACTGCAAACTTTATATCATAAAAATTGGAGCTTTAAACATGATATAGCAATAGCATGCAGATAGTACACACATATTAGATACAAAATTAGATGAACAAATTGTTTACTTGCACAGAACTACTCCATGTAAGTCAGTCCAAACGAAAAAACATGAAATAAAACTAGCAGCATACAATTTAAAAAATAAATAAATAAAACAGGTAAACAATAAAGAAATTAAAACTTTAAGCTAAAATTAATTAACACAGACATGCACAGATACATATACAAAAATATATGAAACTTACAGAGCAAGTTGTTTCCTTCGTAGGCTTTCTTATCTCTTGTTGAATGTAGTCATCAGCAAGTTCAAATAGTTGTAATGATGTACTGCATTTGGTAGGAAATACTTTGAATGCACATAAATCTTTCCATCTATTCTTCAATCTGTGGGAAGGAGAGACCATTGAGAGAAGAAAATGCTAAACAAAATTCCTGAACTTTGCACAAGTAACTATCATCTACAGATCTAGTAGCACACTATTCATCTACCAAATACATAGTTTAAAAAGAAATTAGCATGGATTATCCACTTTTTTGTTTTCCATCTCTCCACTATATGAACAAAGGTTTAAAACAGACACCGAAATTCCACCATGGTAAAACCAGAAGTTCCAGCTAAGAAATAATTATTCCTCATGCCTAAAGATTTCAAACAAGTTAAAATATCATCAGGTCAAAAGGTCACCAGTTATGGTGTTTCTCAAGTACCACTTAAGCTGTTGTTTATTCTCTATAGGGTTCTACAAAGGTACCAGGATTTAAAGGGCTACTCCACATTATGTAGCCCAGACTTCAAAGAATAAGAACTTTAAAGGGATCAATAGTCTTTCATGCTGACATTTCAATTGGACTATACCAAACACCTAGCCATTAAGTTTAAGCATTTATAAAGAGAATGGAAAAAACTTTAGGAAAAACACTTAGCACCTGCATTGACTACAATAGTCCGTACTTGTGGCTTTACTCGAAATCAATTCTTTGATATCTGCTTAAAGAAAATTCTTAGAATGTAAGCATCAAGATAAAGGCTCAAAAAAGAAAATAAAAAATAATAGTAATAGAAAACTTAAAAAACCAACACTAATTTACAGGGGGATCATCTACAATTTTCTGTATCAGCCTTAATAATGACATGCATGGAAGTTGTTCAATTTTTTTTAGCACTACTAATTCAAATCCAAGTCATGCTTCCAGTCACAATTTAATGAGAGCACTTTTAAACACAATAGAAAAAGAAGTGCAAAAGAGTATTTAGGTAGAAATCTCACATGCGAGATTCTGGATCTTTGCGAGGATCATACTTTTCTGATCCAGAACCCAAGAAACGGGTCCATTAGAAAAGTAGTATGCATTTCCAAGTAGAAGCCTGTAAAACCAGACAAAAGCAGAATATCAAATTTTTCCACAAAGCAGAAAAAAAAAGAAATCGTTAGGTCCTCAAGCAACCCAAAATATTTATTATACAATGTGAGCTTCTAGGCAGAAAACCTTTTAAGCATTAGCCTGTTAAATTTTAGACCTCCATCAAGCAACCGCTCAATAAAGGATGCTTTAGGCCATATAGGCGTGTCATCAAAAAGCTTAGATACAGCCATCTGCCACTTCCATTGCTCAGAATCTGGTATATGATTTCCCCAGTTACTTTTTCGGGAATCTGTAAGAAGCTAGTACAACGGAAACAAAAGGCACAAAATAATGCAGGATATATGTTGAAAAAATTCAGATTCCATTAAATGCCATAAAGGTAATATCTAAGTTGTGTTATATAAATGCCCTCCATACATGAAATGTTACACAATCATAGAATTGTGCAAGCCACCTGGAACAGCAAACTCCAAACATTACATAATCACAGAATTGACGTATCATATTTTGATTAAATTGCAGAGAAATTCCAGCATGTCAGAAATGTCATCTGATTAAATGTGCAAAAATAGACATCATAGGAAAGAGAACATCTAAGTGCAGAACTCAAACTACACTTCATGAAAATACATTGATACAAAATCTAGAGAATATGCAATTTTGATCATAAAAAAAAAAAAAAAATTACAAAAAAGAGAAAGAATATAGATTGGATAAATTGGAGGTGAGCGATAAAGTTTGCCAGCACAAACTAAACAAAGGATATCTTTAATGTTAAAATCAATTGCAAGACCTGAAGTTATGTCCATTGCACAAAAGAACAAAAAGATTGCCAGTTCAGTGCTAACCCTCATAATGTGCTTGATAGAGTATAGAACATTATCTTAAATAATTTCATGAGCATCCGGACATTCATGGAGAAAAAAAAAAAAAAAAGAACTGCAAACACATTATGGGGAAGAAATTCAGAATCAAAACCATGACTGAACAGATCAATATGTAGAGCTAAAAATCTAAGAACGGAATCATTTAATCAAGCCAATAGACAATTTGATAAAAAAATCTATTCCAATAAACCAATTGATCAAAATCTACTTTCCAATAAATTATCCATCTCCTTCTATGCAATCAAAACTAAAGCAAAAGGAATCATTTTCCAAAATTCAGATCCTTTGAATAATTAAACCTTCGATGTGAAAAAGTTCAGCTTTTTACACCAAAGACTGAAAAAGATAGATAACTCCCAATCAAGTCAAACAGAAATCTCAAGATGTCAAAGAAAAAGGATATAGTAATTAGCTGGTCATTTAGAAAACCACCTGATGGACCAAAAAAAAAAAACTATTGGATATTTTCAGACAAATATAAACAAATTTCTCCTGTTTGCATATAAATATACCCTCTACAGGGTAGAAGAATTGATAAAGTATAAGTACAATAGCTCTAACAACAATTTACCACCCAACAAAAAGAAATAAAGTAAAAATTTCAAACGTTAATTCATTAGTCAATACCTCACGAGGGTTTTGCACAACTTCCTCTTCTTTCTTTTTTGAGCTAGGAAGGGCTGATGGTCTTAATCTGAAAAATATGAAATTAAAGTCAACTCAATGACTCAGTTCTTTCAATAATCTAGCATCCGATAGACCTAAGCAAACACTTTTCTTTTTCTTTTTGTTTTTTTCAAGAGATAAGGAATAGCATTTTGTTCCATGAAAGCTGTTGAAGTAGGCCATCAGTTTAATCAAAGATACAAAAATATAAAACCTTCAAGCAAAACTCTTATCAAAATATAAGAAAATTAAGTATCCAATATAACCAAATAAGAAATACAAAGCATCATACACTAAATTTGTTGGCATATCCTTAGGTGCAAAGAATGGGGGCAACATCATCATCACATCATCCTCGTCCAGATTTATGAAAGCATCCTTTTCTGAAAAACATAAAAAAATTAATCATTTTCATATGGTAAACAAATAAGAAATGTCCATTTCACTGATAGAAGTGCATAGACAATAAATTACAAAGGCTTCACCACAATGTTGCTCCTCCATTTCTGTCCAATTTCTTTTTTTCCTCCAAGCAACATCAGCATGAATGGCAACAACATGCTGGTAGTCAGCCATTCCTTCACAAATTTTTAAAAAGAAAAAGAAAAGGCAAAAATGTCAACTTAAATTTCTAATTAATACTGGGAATAATGAAAAACATCAATGAAATATAGCATAGAGTTATTGAAAAAGAGTAAATTCTAACCATCAAAAGAGTAAGCCTCAGAGACCCTAGCAACAATATCAGCAGAAAGGTTTACACGGTCTTCTTCTGATACCTGCACATCAACTTCTTTGCCAGCAGCAACTGGTTCACTTTCAGGCTGACCTACTTGGCTATTTTCATCCTTAGTTGCCTCAGACAATGAATGTTCCAACATCTTGCTAGATGGTCCAGCACTTTGGCCATCACAAGACTTAATTTTAGATATTTTTAACAGAAAGCTGTTACAAGGATTAAGTGCTCCAAATGTAGGACGTGAATATGGATCCTCAGGGCGAAAATGGAGCTCCAACTTGTTAGATTTTAAACTACGGGCCTGCAAAACAGGCCAGCTCATGAATGAACAGCACTGTAATGGAATGTTTCCTAATTGATCTTTTCAACACATTACTATTGCTATAACAGTCCGTAGACTAATTTAGAACACCTCTGGTACGTAGAATTAGCAAGACCCTAAAAACGAAATTAAGAACGCTGTGTACTGAAAACACAATACATCTTATTTGATAGAGCTTGGATTGTTACACGGGAAATACACAATTTTAAACCTTGAATAATCAATTTTAACTCTTTTCCCACTGAAAATATACTACTCAGAAACTTTCAAAACATTGATAAATATAAAAACTTTCTTATTTAACTCAAAACCTACCACCCAGATACTGTTACCACGGTGATAAAAATATAAACTTGTCCCAAGTTTGCAAAACAAATGCTAAAAATAATTTTTTTTTTTCAAAAATATAAAAGGAATGAGTTATGAATTAAAATGTAGTTTGTTTAGTTCAAACCTTGAGAATTGACTCAGTTCCTCCAAGCGTTTGGATGGCACGTGAAATTGAAGAAGGATAGCCCGGATAGTGAACAGCAAAGGTCTCATTGCTGGGCAAATTCCCAGAAACGGTGCCGTTTTTTATCACTCCCATCACTGTTGTAGCCGACAAAATCAACACAAATAAAAGAAATGAAAACGAATTGAACTTTGCGAAATAAAACGAGCCAGAATGTTTTTTCAGTTACATAACTTACAAACTCTTCTCTAAAGCCTTAAAAATCGTGGCGGCGGTAGTGGTGGTGGTGGTGGACCGTTTCTTCTGCAGTGGCGTTCGCCAGTGGTGACGCCGGCAGCAGCAGTAAAGCTTTTAGTAGACAAATTTTGATTTTTCGAATTAGTTTCTTCAAATTTTAAAATTTGATTAGGAAATTTAAGACAAATTAGGTTTTTTTGGGGAGGATTTAGAGTTTGGATTAATTTTTTTGATAAATATTTGCAAGAAATAGTATGGGTAAAATTGGTGTTTCGCGCCTTTCGCTGGTCAAAGATGGTCCGACTGTAGCTCCAGTAGATGGAGACTAACCTCAGAGGCTCAGAAGGGGTGTTTTGATATTTTTTGAAACATGTGGATCTTGAAAAAATTGTGCTTAGAGATTTTCTCCTTATATCAATCAATTTAATTAACTTCATTAAAATAGAAAACAACTCATCATTCCTTCTAAATCTGGAAAATTTTCAACTGAAAATGTGTGTAAACAACATGAAATTTGTAATCAATCAATCAATAATAAGAAAGGTAAATTACGAGGTTTACGGTTCTCGCATGAGTCAGATTTAAGACGTTAAGTTAGACTCGGTGCATAAATGGGTTAGACTTTCGTAAATTCGGTAAAAAGACGAGGTTATTCCAATAAAACAAGAAAATCTTGTTAATGGAGTAGAACGGATTAATGCAATTAACTCTTTAAAGTTTTGCCTTAAAGATTCCGATAAGAAGGAAAACTCTACGACGAATTGTCCTTAGTATTGTCCTGTATTCATTCATGATGAAAGTCTTAAACATGGCTTCCACCCTTGGGATATTCATTTTATGCACATGACAAGAGAAAGCAACTGGGCATGTTGAACAAAATGTTGCAATGAAATTGAACTTACAAGATCAAGAGAGCATTTTAAAGCTATTCTTATTTGATTATAAACATCCCATACCATTACAACATTTCGACATAGGGTGGATTCTGTAAGAACTCAGAAGCAGACAATTGAACAAACAACAATCGACATCCATTGCCAGCTCTCGAGTAGCTTCCACCAGGTCTCTAATTAGATTTATAAAATCATACTCAGATCTTCATGTCATGCAAGGCTAAATTCATTGAGCAGGAAAAGAAGGAAACTGAGTTACCCCTTTTGCAGAAACTTCCATCAGAAAGCACATATCCGGTGATGAATAATAACCGGAACCACATCAACACCATTCTCCTGCAACTTGCCCGAAGGAAAATGCAAGTTTAATCTGATCATATGCCAAGCATTGGCTCAAGTACTCAGAATTATATAATAGCTACAATAGAGGGAGCAGCAAATAGTTATTCCATACTGAAATTGAGGAACAACATACTACGCAATCCTTATCGTTTTTCTTCAAATTCTAAGGTCTTAAAGGGCATACATTCTCTTGTATTCAGTATTCAAAATCTCCTGGTCTGAAGCCACAGACACGGAAAAAGAATGGGACCGGCTCCTTTCTCTCCGTATGTTCCTCAATTTTTTCTCCTCCATTCTATGCATAACAACACAATAGCACATAGAGCCAATTGTGGTGAGCATTATTGTACTACCGATCACTGTTGCAAACACAGCAAGCCACCTAGAATGCTTGCCCACTACCACATATGTGAGAGAAATAAATGCAACTGAAATGAAAAGGCAAGCCGACCACATGAGTTTGTTAATTACAAAAACAAGCTGCGTCTTTGCTTTTTCTTCAATCACAACAACAGATGTCTGGACTACAACAACAGCCAGGGAGATGAATAATGCTAGACTGTCGAACACAATAAAGATGATGAAAGCTGCATTGCTTGCTATGTGGGCTTCCCCAAGGGAATGCCCCTCTGTTTTTTTTTCCACGTACTGTCCAGGCACAGTGAAGATGGCAGCAAAAGCAACTGTAGCAATAAGAACAGCAACAACAGTTGCTGAGTTTATCGCATTATTCAGTCCACTTATGTGGAGCTTCTTCAGATTTTTTGCAATTTTCTTGACCTTGAATCTAGTTTGACGGGTCTGTTGGAGCTGGGACTGAACATCATGTTTTATGTCACTAACAGTCTGCTTAAGTTGCTTTGCTGGATTCTGGGGCTTTCCATGGTCTTTAGAATGGACGGCCCCTGCTTCCTTCAACACAGCAACAAGTTCTTGATTTCCAAGTTTCTCAGCAATATCTAGCGGGCTCTCTCCAGCCTTGTTCAATGCATTGACATCTATACCCTCAACTGATAATAAACAACGTACAATCTGCAGTAAAAAGAAGTCAAACTTTAATATGTATTGTAATGACAATAAAACTAAAACTAGAGATTAATATGATCTTATTTACATTTACTAAGGTTTGTTTGCTTTGGTAAAAAATCCCAACCCCCAAAGTATCTATTACCTTTATTATTGCCACACAATTGTGTTTTGAGTTTTTCACCTTCCACGAATCAATATTCCTTTGTGAAATTAGAAAAGCATTGATTACTTATAAATCTGATTTTCTTTATGTAAAAATACATCTACATTACTCGTCAATGTGTGAACAACATGAGATTGCTTCAAATAACCTATCAGTCTGCTTTAATTACAGAGAAAATAATTGTTTCAGACAATCATCATACATCCTGATCATATAAAAAGAATAGAAATCATAACAAGGATTATATCTCTCATGACTAGATCCAAACAGCAACAAGATAAAATTATTTCAATGTCCTTAACAACAGCTAAAGTGTCATAAGAACATAATAAAAATGAGACAAAATATTTTTGTTCCACAGATTATTGACTGGCCATATTGATTCCAGGTACATGCTGTAATTGATAAATTAAAAGTTCTCCACTATAGTTCAACTATTAACTTGGACTGTAAAATTTATATTGTGCAACATTTAATTTCTTGAAACATTTATTGATCAAAGAAAAATATTCACAACAGATAAAGAAACAAGGACGCACCTGATGACGGCCCTTCATTATGGCAATATGCAATGCTGTATTTCCCTTGTTATCTCCCAAGCTTAAAACTGACGGGTCAGGTTTAACTAATTCCAGCACAATCTCCTCATTTTGCCCTTTTACAGCCATGTGTATTGCAGCTTGGCCTTTTTTGTCGACCCTAAAACCAGTGCTTGGGTCCTTGCTTACCAGGGATTTCACCACCTCCACGTGACCCATCCTTGCTGCAGAATGCAGGGCAGTCTTACCATTATTCCTGGCTATCTTAGCGAGGTTCGAGTCAGTTTCTAGAAGGAAATCAACTACATCAATGTGCCCTTGAGCAGCAGCCGTGTGTAAAGCAGTTGTACAGGATAAGTCTGTGGTCATAACCAAGTTGGGAAATACACTCAAAAGTTCCTTCAGAACATCTGCAAGGTTTTTGGTTTTTTGTCAGCACATAACTGAATTTACAACAATGGGTAAACAATAAACACTTTTTTTTTATTCTCTAAAACAGATTTGTCTTTTAAAGATGTCATTTAGCTAGGTTTAAACAAATTAGAAATGCCTATCTGGTTAGCATCAAATAAAAGAAACAGACGCATGCACATGATTGCAGGCCAGTGTGGCTATTTTGAGTATACATTACATTTGCAACAAGCATACATATTGAACAATGTAACATATTTCAGCGAAATTTCTTCTCAAAATTATAAATTTGAGCCTGCACAGTGTACAACTTATGATACGGAAAGTGACTTTGAAATGGCATCCAGGCAAATGACCACAAATGGAGAAGAGGAAGGAAAGGAAAATACTGCACAAGTTTTCTGATAGATAATGCACCAGGAAAGAGACCACGCCGTTGTATAGATAAATAAAAATAGTACTATGCCTAGCCTAAAATGGAATTCACCAAACAAGCAAGGAATTTGTACTACATTAATTCTATTATGTTTTGTACTACATTAATTCAATTATGTTAGAATTGCTATAACCAAACTCTCATTCTCTTTAGCTTCCAAAATAAAATTTGTAAGGATTTTCCAACGCACAATACAGAATCAGATTGAAAGCTTACCAAGATGACCCTGCTTTGCTGCCACATGAAATGGATCGTATCCGTTCCTGGCCCCTATAGACGCAATTTCAAGGTCCATATACTTCAACATCTCTCCAACAACCAAAGCATGCCCATTCTCAGCAGCCACATAAAGTGGGGTTTCCCCTTCTTGATTCTGCTTCGACAACAACTCCTTTGGATCCCTTCCATCACAGTTCTGCAGAATCTCCTTAACTCTACTGAAATTACCTGCCCGAGCAGCCAAATGCAGCTGCAAATCACCTCTTTTCCCCGGTGAATCCTTGTTCTTCTTCCTCTCACCACCACCCATAAAACTCAACTGCCTCTCCATCACCACACGGAAACTCTTCTGTTTCTCCAAAAACCCACGAAAACTCTTCTGTTTCTCCATCACCCCACGAGTATTCGGCTGTTTTTCAATACTTAAATTCTGTTTCTCCATCGCCCCACGCGTGGCCGGCTGTTTCTCAAACGTGACACTATGAAAACTCTTTTGTTTTTCCATTGCCTTCATCGCACTTGGCTGTCTCTCAATGGTAATACCATGAAAACTTTGCAGTTTTTCCATCTTCGGTGCCTTAAAACTGCTTTGTTTCTCCATCTTTGGAGCCTTGAAACTGTTCTGTTTCTCCATAATCTCACACAAATAAACTCAAGACTCAACAATATGAACAAAACACTTTGTTCTTAGAATCAAAAACCTCACTTCTTGGATTTCAAAACCCAAAAGTACTTAAATCTCTTCATCATCATAATCACAAGGAAAAAAAAATTAACCTGCTTCTTCTGCTCCTTCAAAAACTAATTTTGATTCTTACCCATTTCAAGAGATCTCAAAACTATCATCAACCAAAACAAAAAGCTATATTCCACAGAGTTATATCAAGCCAAAAACAAAGCAAGCTTTGAATGGATATACCTTGCTTTAGAGCTAAAACTCAAGACTTGGATGAAGAAAAAGAGAACTGAAATCAGAAAATCCACTAAATTTGAGAACCCAGAAAAAGATTCCCAAATTTCAGAAGATGAAGACCACAAATCCTCAGTTTTGATATCACCTAGAAGGTAGAAGGTAGCCCAGCCAGTGACAACAGACAAAATAGCAGCAACTCAAACTACTGCCAGTACTTTTTCCTTTCATTATTATTCTTTTTCCATTTAGAAGCTTTATCTCTTCATTTTTTTTATTTATTTAAATTTTAAAAAAAAATTATTAACTAATTTCAGATTTTAATATAATATAATAATTTTAAAAAGTATTAATTTATTTTAATTAACACAATTTTATGTTATAAATTTGGTGATAGTCATAGAACTCTATATATTTTATCGTTATCTCATTTACTAAAATAAATTATAAATTAAAATTAATCCATATCTTTTATAAATGTAAGTGCCCTTTAATAATTTATTTTTCTTGAAGAAAAAGCTAAATTTTGCCATTATAGTCTATAGATTATCATTAAAGTAAAATTTTCTCGTATTTTAAACTTGAAGAATAGTTTATATTTTTAACTTATATATATATTAAGTTTATGATAATGAGGAAATTCTTGTGTTTAGTGTAAAATTGTTTTGATTCCAAAATCTCTTATGGAATCACTCATTGAAACATAGATAACTCCACCAAAATATAAGGAGCTAATGTTACACCCAATATGTTGAATGGGTGTTTCAAGTAAGTCGTGGTTTTTTATGACTAGGATGTTCGGGTCAACTTGTACGTATCTCGACTAATCTTTAGGTCCCTGAAGTTAACAACCGATTAAGTTTTTTAATAATCACTTATATTAACAATCAAGGTAAATCAAACTCAATACCTCTTAAGGAATGCATTAAAGAGTTTTTGTCGTCTCACTCAACCACCCATGAGTAGTTAAGTAAGTCATGACTTGATAGTTAAGATAGGGTAACAATAACTCTAATACCCATCTTTGAATAGCTCAAGTAGTAAGTCGTCGAATATTGGAATGTGTGGTTATGATGCATAATCTTCTGTTTTACTGATTTTATAACGCATTTGGTGGACAAAATAAGATAAGATAATTAGATTGAACGGTAGCCGATACATTTTTTTTTTATACCTAAAATGACCCATCGACAGTCACATAATCTGGTGGCCAAACATTTAGTGGGACTAGGAGAATGCTTAGCCGCCATTGTTGTCTAGTGGTATGAAAATGAAAAATACACCAAAAAAATGAAAACAAAAAATCAGAAAACAAATGGTCTAATGAAAACCATTCTAGTATATGGTGAGGTGTCCCACTTCCGCTTTCATAAAACAATTTTAGAAAACAAAAGCAGCATGAATGATGGAATCATCCATTACGATGGCATATTGGCATCCTCCTAACAATTTTATCTCCACCGACCCTCGTGCCTTCAAGGCTTTGTGTCTCCAATTGAATTGACATTTTTGTTTTTATATGCTTAATTAATTAATTAATTAATTACAAAGTTAAAAATTAAAAGTGATATTGGTTTACCTTTTTTAAAGTGGAAATGTTTGGTTTTGGATATTTTTGTATTATATTTATATCTACCTTGTTTTGAGTATCTTAATGAAATTAATTACATGATTAAATTTTCCTAAAGTGGATGACCCAAATCAAAGAATAATTGACATGGAGTTTTATATGTTAATAAAGTTAAAATTTTGTTGAAATTAGGCAATAAGTTGTAAATAAACCAACAACAAAAAACTATATTAAATAACTCGTTTTGGGGGTTACAATTAAAAAGTCGCAAGGTTTTAGAAGTGTTTTAGAAATTTCGACACCCGTTAGATTAAATTAACCTTTCTTCAACAACAAAACTCAAAAATGGTCGATAGTATGTTGTTTGTTCAATCACTTTAGTTTTTAGTTAAAACAATGATAATTTGGTCCTAACGGGTGTTAAATTTTAGAATATGGTTAAAATATTATTTATTTTGATAAACTTCGATGTTATGGGAATAAAATTATTAAATAATGAAAAAAAAAATGATATTGAGATTAAGGTATATAATGAACATTACCCTCAAATGAATATAAGGAAAACAAAATCATAAATAAATTTGAATTAATAAAGTATATAAATAGGCAGATATTTTCTTCAATAAATTAAATAAATTTATTCATTTGGACTTTGGAGGGATAAAAAAAACATAGATCAAAGTAGATTTTATTATTAAAGACAAAATGAGAAAGAGGAAAATAAAATGATGCACATCATGTGGGTTGATTGATTGAGATTGAGAATGAGAGCTTCATTGCATATATATATAATAAAGTTTTCAATTTCAATTTCAACGACAGAGAAATTAATGAACCAGCTAGATATTATTATTGGAATTTTTTTGTTTTTAGTAATTGGACAAGTCAAACCTTCCAATTGTCTTGGACTTTTCAACGGTGTTTGGATTGTAGGAAAATCATTCACTTGTTTTAGGGCTTTAAAACCATTGGTTAGACGCTCTTCCTCTTATCAAGATTTATAGGGTTTTGTGGGATATTATTGTAGTTTTAATTTCAATATTTATGGGGAATTTTCTACTTGGATAGTCAAAAAGGGTGAAAAAAGGAGGAATTAATTATATATTAATCTTTATATGTCAAAGTAATAAAGTTATATTATTAATGCATTTGGTTATCAATCAATTTCATGATAAGCATCTCAAACTTTTTACTTTTTTTTTTTTTTCCTCAAGGGTAGGGTTGTAAACGAGCCGAGCTGAGTCGAGTATTACTCTAAACGAGCTTGACTCGATTAAGCATTAAACGAGTTCAAGCCAAGTCAGGAAAATTCGACTCGTTTATAATCGAGTCGGCTCGTGACCTAACTCGAACTTGTTTGACTCGACTCGAAAAACTCGATTATGATTCGATTAACTCGAGCTTGAATTGGCTCGATTACGGCTGGTTTGACCAATTTTTTATATAACCTGCAAATCTTGTTTTATGCAAATCAGATCCAATTTTTTGTAAATTTGCATCCAAATCAACATAAATCACATCCAAATCAACACAAATTACATCCAGATGAACACAAATTACATCTAGATGAACACAAATCACATCCAAATCAACACATCAACAATGTATTACACAACAAATTATAAAATCCTAAAACTTTAATTGGAGTTTGGGTTAATTTGCAACATTTTAAAACTTTTACATGTCAAATTACAAAAAAAACCTTAAACTTTTTTTTTTTTAAGAAAAACCCTAAATGAGCATTATTGACTCACAAGCCAACTCGAGCCAAGCTGGGGTAGACTCGAACTCGGCTCAATACCTAATTCGAGTCTTGTTTGAGCCGACTCGACTCAATTATAATTGAGTCGAGCCGATCTAACTCACGAGCGGCTTGACTCGGTTGACACCCCTACTCAAGGTTAAGTCAAATCATGAGATATGTGGTTTATTCTTATATCGTTTATGATTGTAGAGTTCGATAAGGGTTTTAATTTGAAGAGGGTTTGTAAAGTAGATACATTTTAGGATTGTAGGGTTCGATAAAGATTCTAATTTGAAGAAGGGTTTACAAAACATATATGCTTTAGGATTGTATAGTTCGATAAAGGTTTTAATTTGAAGAGAGATTTACAAAGGAGATACACTGAATTTCTACCGCACGGAAAAAAAAAAAGAAAAAAAAGAGTTTTTTCTTTAATTTTCTTCTTTTTATTTTTTGTTATAAGGATCATCTTATATTTTATTGCTAATTCAAGTGAAACCCGTTTGTTCTACCACATAAATAAAACTGCCTCTAATTTATGATATTAAAATAATTGTTAAAATTAACAGACGATTCAAAAATTTATGTATCACAATATTTTTATCTAAGAGCCGTTTAAGATTATAGCTGAAAATATTTTAACCAAACTTTGGTTTATTTAATTAATTGTGTCTCCTGTTTTTTAAAATGAAAAATTGTATAGGGATATAATAAACTCTAAATAATTATAAATGATAAATAGGTTTAAGTAGAAACCATTTTGATACAAAGATAAACGGGTTCGGATAAAACCCACTTCCAAAAACTAGATCAAAAGAGAAGAGAGTTTAACTACATATATATACCATAACAACTTACCAAATTGATGCTGTGAGATAAATACAACTTCTAACAATAAAAAAAATAAAAAATACATGATAGTATGATTCTTAAATTATTTCATATGCACAAGAAATAAAGATCTAAGATTCTATCCTATCTCACTAAATAAACTATAATTTTTTTAAAAATAATCAAAAGTGGTTATTGCCGAATTGCGTATAAGTTAATGCCTGAGCTCATGTGATTGTGATATGCAATACTTTAGATAATAAAATAATACAATTCCTTATAACTAACCTCTAAATTATTTATTATTTTTCTTTATAAAATTTAAGTCATTGTTGAGTGATGGCTAAAAACTTGCCTTCAATTATTCCTCAAAGTCAAATGTTATTACGTACAACCATCAAATTAAAGGACAATAAAGTCTCTTATCTAAGTTGAAATTATAATTAAATGAAGTGTCACATTAATTAATTCTATCATTCTTGAAAAATACCCACCTCTAAATTGTCAAAGTAAGCAAATGGGTTTCTCAAAATTTGACCATATATTACTGATACATGAACAACATTTGAGGAGAAAATTTACATTTTCATCTCTCTAGTTTTGGTCTATTACCAGCAAGGATACTGATTTTAGAAAATAGCATTTTAGCCATTTGACTTAACAAAATTTTGCTAGACTATTAATTGACATTGAAAATTTTTGTGAAATGATCAAAATATTCCTCTAACAAATGGGGGTTAATGATATTAATTCCTCTAAGGTATGATAAAATAACAAAAATCCTTCCGAGGTTTGCAAAATAATAGAAATTTTTTTATCGTTAAATTTTAGGTATTAAAATAAAAAGTAAGAGGACAATTTGTAATATTTACTAACTCATAATACAGAAAAATTTTAACGGTTCACTAACGTTTCATTAACGATAAAGAGATTTTTATTATTTCATAAACATTTGAGGGATTTTTGTTATACCATATTATACCTCATAGGTCTATTTTTACCCCCAACAAAAAGTAATTCGAAACTTATCTTGTAAAGTTATTAAACAAATAATTACAAACTAATGTTGCTTATGTAATGGATTTTTTTCAATAATTTTTTGGAAGAGTATTTTTTTCATTTTAATATAATTTTCATGTCAAGTTAAAGGATCAAAGTGCTAGAATTTAAAACAAATGTCCTTAATAAGCAAACCAAAACAAAGGAAAAAATATGTAATTTCTCAATTTTTGACCACCAAACTATTTAAGGAATATTGAGAGCAAGAAAATGGATTGACCAGTGGGGCAACTTTGGTTGTCAAAACAAAATTAAAAAAATGTTGTGTATATTAATAAAGTCATGTTTTTCAAAAGGACTATTTTGATGGTTAAATGAAGCTTCTGGTACTATTAAATTGTTTGGTCAAAGTTGGATTCCTATACCCCATTTCTTTGACTGAGTTTTAGCTTCTTTTAGGTAAGACTTCCCAATAAAGACACTTTGGTTTGGCCTAACTTTATCCACTTGAATTATTTTAGGCTTTGTTTCATTTCACACATGATATGAAGTAACGATGATCAATATCCATAGGCCAGCAGCTAGCTTCATTTGTCTGAAGATGTTGAACAGTGGGTTCGGGCGGGCCGATCCGGGCCGGGCTTGCTTTTTTAAACAAAGTGGGCTTAGTGAATTGGATGGGCTTAGACGGGCTAACTATTCTTAAACTGTGGATTATTTATTTATTTATTTTTATAGTTTTGATTAGAAATTATATAAAATAGTTCATCTGTAAAATATCATTTTAATTATACGAATGAATTCAACAGTATTCAAACATGGTCTGATATAATTATATAAGAATAATTCCAACTAAAAAATTATATATATATATATATATATATATATGTTATTGAATTCATTAGTAAATACAACCCTAATTAGCCATAAAACTCCATTACTTGTAGTGGGATTTACCGCAACACTCAACCATGCAAAGCTTTTAATACCTGCTTCCACGTGGTGTACACACCCACAAACAAATTAAACTTGTAATTTTCTCATTCAAACATGCAATAATTATTAATATTTTTTTTCATAGACAGCTCTGGGGATTTTGAACTCCAGTGCTTGTTCCATCGATGTATTTGCAGGAAGATGTTGCTGCTTTGTTCAAATAAGTGAGCTTGATGTCGTGCATTCTGATCCCTTTGCATGGATTGCTAGGGCTACAATCAAATGTCACAGCCTCTGCTGTTGCCGATGTTCCTTGTATGTTTCTGTATGTCACTTGATTAATCTTCACCCCAGAAGTCTGTAAAAAGAGAGGAGATAAAAAAAATAAAAAAAAATAAACAAATAAATAGTTTATCAAGATATTACTATATTGAATATCTATATGTCAGGGACGGATCCAAGGTTTGATGTTAGTGGGGGCAAGTTTAATGAATATGTTTGTAGGTGGCTCACAGTTCAAAGTAATGTAATATAATTTTGAGAAAACTAAGTGAGGTCGGTAAAATTTAGAAAAATTAATGTAGTATAACCTGATCAAATCAGAAAACAAAGCAAAATGAATGATCATATGTAATTCGAGTGGGGTCAAATGCCCCCAATCGCCCCTTAATAGTTCCATTCATGGTGTCATTGTATTTGTTTAGTCACTACTTGACCTAAAAACTTATTAAATTGTCTGAGTAAAGACCTTAAAACTAAAATTTGAGTCTAATAAGTTCCTTCTCATAATATAGAATGTGTATAGGTGAGGATTTGAATTTGAGATCTTTAGTTTTGATAACGTAATAATATTAATACTTAAGTATTATAATCGTGGAATTTTGGGATTGGTTCGATAATGTTACCTGACGAGGGCATCCTTGGTTGTTGGGGCAGTAATTTTGATCAATTATAATCGGATTCTCAGTGTTCTTCATTATAATGTTCTGAAAGACAACATTTCTCACAAAGCTCTTACTAGCTCGAGCCCATGATTTAATTCTCACTCCATTATCTGACCCTGTGAAAACTGCATTCGTCAATGTTACATTTTGAACCCCATCTTCATTGAGGTCCTTACCGAGACTGCCAATGCTGTGAAAAGTCAAAACCACAGTTCAATTAAACCCAATTCTGATAAAGATATATTTGTTAATTACAATTTTAAAAAGATAAATAATAGTTTTTTCTATACCTAACACCATGTCCAGGGCCACACTTGATGTTGTTCATGAACAAGTTCCTAGTACCAGGACCGATTGATATGCAATCGTCGCCGGTCTGAAGGGTACCGCCGTTGATTGTGACGCCGGTGGAGGACTGCACGTGGATGCCGTCGGTGTTAGGGCTTTGATCCGGAGCAATAAGCTTCACATTTCGGACCATAACATTGTTGCAACTGTTGATCACTAGATGACTTAGCTGACTGTTGATCGATGTCAAGCCACTTATCACAACGTTGTTAGCCCAATTGAACGTTATGGACTGCAATGAAATATAGAAGACATATTAATGAGACTTCAGCAATAAAAGAGTGCTCATGCAGTAATATAATATACCATAAATCGTTAAGAATATATATTAATATAGCCTACCCTAGCCCCAACTGGGCAACTTTTGCCAGATTTTCTGCAAGCCCAGAAGCCAGAGCCTTTAGCATCAAGAGTGCCTCCGATGACCGAAAGCCGATCAACTTGAATGAACAAAATCCAATACCCAGAATTCCCAAGAGCTCGATAATCAGTTGGAGCTACAATGCTTCCATCTATTTGAACTGTAATTCTGCTCTTGCATGGCCCTCGAAACTCCACTGCTTTAATCAAATACCTCCCTTTCGGAACGTAAATCGTCGATGCTTTAACTGAGCTGCACGCCGCTTTCCATGCCCTGAGAAACGACGGTGTTGCGTTCGTTTTGCCGTCTGGTTTTGCCCCGTAAGTGATCACATTGAAGGCCGCGGTCGATGATCGGATAAAGAAGATGAAAATGAGAAAGACCATTGAAGAAATAATAAGCTTGGCCGCCATTTCTATGGAGATGATGATGGTTATTGGTAGTTATATTACTCGATGGAAGCAATGAGACAGTTAGGGGTATTTATATTGCAAGATCGAGAGATGGCTTATGCTTATAATATGAAGTCAAAAGTATATAGTATAATTAAATGGCACGTTGTTTCATACATAGGCAATGTGAATTGAGATTTATGATATGTACGGCAACATGATAAGTTGTAATTAAGTTTGAGGCTAAGGCTAAGTTGCATGTGATCTAAGGAATTTGTTTGCTTTATTAATTTGGTATTAATAATTGTTCTTCTAATGATTAGTGTGAACGGGATGATATCATACTTATAATTCATGTTATTTTAATGGTCAATTGAATTAAACAATTAAAGGGTTCCCTTTATGTTCATATCTAAGATCAAATGTATAATATTAATCATTCTATGAGACATATATTGTCGGAATTTGTGTATGCTCCAATGCCGTTCGCCGGAGTTTGCTCGAAGTCCAAATAAAACCTGCAAAAACCAACTTCAAAATATCCAACTTCAAGATCTGGTCCAATTTTAAGATCTATAGTATCCAATGACGACAAACCAATCTAATACTACAATGATTGAACTTAGTTTGATATATTGAAAATAATAATCGATAGATAAAAGATTCAAACACGAGACTTTTAGTTCTAATATCATATTAAGTGACGAAAAAAATAATGACCTCAACTACTTTGACATCAATCATATAATACTATCTAAATATTATAATTAAGCAAAGGTTAAATATACTTATTGAACAAGTAATGACCAAATTCCAATTCTAATTCAATGTCAATGTGTAGTTAATTAGCGAAGAGATCAGTAGGTTTTTGTTGTAATTAAATAATTAGATGGCTTACGCATGGGATGAGATATAAACTTGCATGTGTTATCCCTTTTGTTCATGTGACACGTGGAGCAAACCCTGGAGGACTTTCAGGCGAGAAACTCGCCCAATCATGTAGCTCTTAACACAAGTCAACATGAGGTTTGGCATCACGGGTTGACCAAGGACTATTAAAACCAATAATAATTTGCCATGTAATTTCTAAATGTAAATGGTTTCTGACGTGGCGGATAATTGTTGGTTGATTATGTGAGAAGTGGCGGCCCTACCATTGTACCGTTAGAGTTAGTTACGGGGTTTGGGTATAAAAATTTATCATTTTCTAATAGGGATTTATTTATTTAATTTAATTACCTCATTTTATAAGTAATGCTTTTCTAACTATTTCAAGCAACAAAAGTACATTGAATAAAAAATTAAAGTAATGAAATTGTTTGGAAGCAGGAACATTGACTTATTATAAATTTTCTTTTTATAAATATAGATTTTTTTTTTTTTTTTTTTTTTAACCAAAGTGTTTGAGTAATCTTACGAGCACTTTGACTAACCTTCAGGGGATACTAACGTAGCAATCTATTGCGTCGACCTCTCACTTAAATCATGCACCTCGACTAATCCTCGGAGGAGACCAGCGCAATAACCCACCATCACGACCTCCCATTTTAATCGTAAATGTTTAGATAAGGAATCAAACCTAAGATCGTGCGCCTATCCAACTTTCCTCAACTCGCCCTAACTATTTGGGCTACTCACGGATGGGTTAAATATAGAAATCTCTCGACCTTGCTTTGCCAATCCGAGTTAGAAATTGCAGTCCTATTGGACTTTACAATCTTTGGAAAGTAAATACCTATATGTGTAAAGCTAGAGATACAAAGAAATTTTACAATGATTTCTACACAAAATGATGTGACAAGAAATAAATAGAATAGTGAATATGACGAGTTTAACCTTTTGTATTCACTATTCCATTCATTTCTTACCATGTCTCTTTATACATAAATCTTTATAAGATTTATTAATTAACTTATTATAATTAAAACTCAATGCTTATAAAATAGTAAAATCTCGGATTAGAAAGTTTGATCGATGGATTCTTGCTGTAAGCTAAATATATAATGCTTTTATACGAAATATTAAATTAATCAAATGAAATATTGTATACATATATTTATTCTCTAAATTAAATTTCAATAAGACTCGATCCATTTGGGTGGAATTGGATTATAGTCTTAATTGAGGATTAATTAAATCCATAATAATACAATTTGAGCGGCAAACCATGTGTCACATTGAACTTAATTAAGCTATCTCCCTGCATATTTAATTTAATGATTATAGAACAGTGAGGTTCATGTATGACTAAGCCATAATCATGTGTCTTCATATCCAAGTTGATCGACCAGTTCCCATTGATTCAATTAAACTATTAAAATTTGGGGTCCTCCGCCGGAAAGTTGCACTAATAGAATTCAATAGTTTAGATAATCTTTAAGAAAATAGAGAATAACATACAATATATTAATTTCTACATTTATTCACTCGTTTTGAGAAGTTTTTATTAATTTGTACAATGAATGTATCATATGATTTATATATAAATTTAATAAAATGTATTTTCTCAGAAACAACTCTCAGGATCTGTTACTCCACTAGTCGTTCCATGGATGTTATTACATGAAGATGTCGCAGTTTCGTTCATGTACTTAAGCTTAATGTCGTGCAATCTGATTTCTGTACATGGATTACTAGAGCTGCAATCAAATGTCGTAGCCTCTGGTGTTGCAGATGTTCCTTGTATGTTTCTATATGTCACTTGACTAATCTTCACCCCAGAAGTCTGTCAAAAGGGAGACCAAAAAAAAAATGAAGTTTGAGAAGTTAATTATCTATATATTCATATTTCTGTACTGGAGTATTGTAGTGTATATTAATGTACCTGATTAGGGCATCCTTGATTATCGGGACAATAATTTTGATCGATTATAATGGGGTTCTTAACTTTGTACATAATTAAGTCTTGGAAGAGAATGTTTCTCACAAAACCAGTGCTATTTCTTGCCCAAGACTTGATTCTTACTCCATTATCTGACCCTGTAAAAACTGCATTTGTCAATGTTACATTTTCAACCCCATCTTCGTTGAGCTCCCTGCCAAGACTTCCAATACTGTAAATAACAAAATGAAGATCTCAGGAAGGGGCAAATAGTTATGTTTGAATATAATTTTGGGAAGGGGCAAATAGTTTAGTTTGAATATAATTTGGAGAGTGTTATAGTATTACCTAACACCATGTCCAGGACCAACTTGATGCTTTTCATGAACAAGTTCTGGTACCAGGGCCGATTGATATGCAATCGTCGCCGGTCGAAGGGTACTTCCGGTGATTGTAACGCCGGTAGAGGATGCAACAGGATGCCATCCGTGTTGGGGCTTTCATCAGGAGCAAGCTTCACATTGCGGACAATTACATTGTTGCAACTGTGACTACAAGGTGAGTTGCCTGACTGTTGATGAGGTCAAGCCACTACTATAACATTGTTTGCCAATTGAATGTTATTGACTGCAGTGGCATATAGATGATGGAAAAAAGTTAGATATATAATATATAATTAAGTATATTCCTAATAAGCAAGAATTTTACATAGTTGCCATCCAAGTTTTTTAAATCAAATAAATGATAACTTAAAAGGAATAAACATATCTATCATCTGTATATTATTTAATGATATTATGTAATATATGTATTTATTAATTTTTCTGTAATCATATGGACGTGGTACACGTAATCCATCCTTGAAGACGTTTTTTTCAAGTATAGGATAGTAAAGAATTGAAAATTCTCAAATGTAAAGTTCTAATTTTTAAAACTGATTCAAAATTTGGACGTGTAGAATTTACTAAAACACAAAATTTTAACCAAATTTATTGTATTACCATTCAGAATTTTTTTCTTTTAATATGTTTTTCACTTCAGAATGATTGATAAATAATACCATAGTTAACTTACCCTAGCTCCAATGGGCAACTTTCCATACTTCCTGCAATCCCAGAAGCCAGCACCCTTGGCATCAAGATTCCCACCAACACTGTAAGATTATCAACTTTTTTGAACAAAATCCAATACCCCGAATTCCCAAGAGACGATAATCAGTAGGAGCAATAATGTTCCATTTATATGAACCAAAATTCTGCTCTTGCATGGCCCTTGAAACTCCACTTCCTTCATCAAATACCTCCCTGCGCACAAAATCGTAGCCCCCTTAGCTGAGCCACAAGCCACCGTCCACGCCGGAGAAACGCTCCGTTGAGTCTGTTTTGCCGTCGGGTTTCGCCCCAAAATTATCACGTTGAGTGCTCCATTTGACGTTACAAAAATAAGATAAGAAGAAGAAAAAACTGGAAACAATAAGCTTGGCCGCCATATATTAAGCAATTGCTAGAGATTATGAGGCAGTTGGGATGTGATGAAACGAGATGCAGTGGAGTATTTATATTAGAAGATTATATGTTGTTTAGGATTGATTATATATTAATTTATGGGTATGTTGATTATTATTACGTGATGATATTGTACGGAAAGTTGATAACTTGAAAGTTGTATAAGAATATATTCTCTAGTGATTATTATATGTAAGACGGCTGACTTAATTAATATTTAATTTGTATTAGGTTTTGAGGTAGTAACAACTAATTCAGTCGTCACTGATTAGCAGTCATGACCCGATCAAAATCACTTGTATTATTACATTTCAATTACAAAAAATTATATATTTTTGGGATATACAATTTTTTTTTCTGGATTAAATTTTATTTTTCCAAAATGGTAATTGATAGATAGTTATGTTCTATGTGGTGGATTCCCACTCCGTAGTTAGATTTTGAGAGTAAGTTTTACCAAATCCACTAATTTGATAGAATTTTATTAGGACGGACTCTAATTCAATCATTGAAGCATATTTGATGTGGGGAAAATAATGTTAAATTAGATTTAATTAGAATTTAATTTTGTTCCATTTCTTATTTATTTTATTATATTTAGGGTTTCAATTAGGAATTCAAGTAGTTTTCTATTTTAATTAGGAGTTAGTTGATTTAGAAGTTTTAATTTAGTTAATTTTACTTTTTTTTTTATAATAGTTTTTGGATATTATTTTCTT